TTGCACATCGCAAGGGTAAGGCTTGCTGCTAATACCCTTCCCCAGACCCCGCACAGTGCGGGATGCTCTCAGCACTGGGTACGCCCTTTTTTTGTTTTAGGAATGCACACTAAATTAACATCTGTGGCTTATGTCAAAGTTAGTCAATTGATGAGCATTCCTTATATCTTTAGAAAGCGTAGTCCATTGAGGGTCCAGATTATTTTGGCGTAGCACTCAATTGTATAGTAGATTGGTCATCGATGGGCAAGATCGATGGATGTGCTGATTGTTATTGTTATCCTCGAACGAAAGGTGTGTAAAAGGCAAGAAATAATTGTTCAACGTCGAGAAATTCATTTGTAGCCTGTAACATTCATGTGCTTGTTGAAAGAGGACCAGAAGCATCTGAATCTTTGGGGATATGATTGAAGCTTTTAGTCATGTTCTACCCGCGCCATCCATCTCATAGGTCGCGCTCGCCGTTCGCGGCTGCCGCCATGTGCGTAGTTTGATAGTTTCGTTGCGCCTCAGCTCATAGGACGCGCTCGCCATTCGCAGTCACACCGACGACCGCTCTACTGCCCCCCTTCTAGACGCAGAGACGACGCCCTGCGTGGTTATGTACCACTCGCCAGCGCGAGGCATGCACACCACGACTTCCGGCTAGGGGGTCGCTGCGTCCAATGATGACGTCAACATGTGGCACCACCGGTAGCCGCCCTTGCGAGGTGTAGCTGTGCTGCCTATCGCGGAACATAGCTTGGCCACACACCGTGCGTCACGACGGTCTGCTGACTGTTGCATGCCTATATGTGGGCAAAACATCGAAAGATAATATAGTCAATCAACAGAATGGGAGTTGCTGTTGTTGCCTATCCACACAATCAGAAAGGTACGTTGGTGCCTGGCGCGGAGAAGAACGTCACCGTCGCCATGCGCGCCGTCGCTGAGGCAACAGGCGGCGCCTTCTCCTTCGTCGGGAACCAGGCGGCGATACAGGACTCGTTCGTGCGTGGCCGTGCAGTGCAGGAGGCACGCGTGTCGCCGTCGCGTGCCTGTGCGAGGAGGGCGGACGGCCAGTTTGGGGAGATGGACGGCACGGCGAGTTCTGTGGGCACGCGAGCTCCGGGAGCGTGTTGCTGTACCAAGGCGTCTGCGACCTCCGGGACGGCGTCATGTCCACAAAGGCGTGGCTGGCCGGGCACCCCGGCAGGGCCAGTCTGATCCTGTTTTCTCGCACTGCCGCGAGGAACCGTGCTGGTGGAAGGCCGGCCGTGAGGGAAGCGCACCGGGCACCGCACTGGTGGATGGCCCGCCGCAAGGGAAGCAACTACGAGCAAACCTCGCGAGTGGACGGCCGGCCGCCGACGTCGCGCATGTGGGAGACAACAGCCACGGACACCGCCGCACGCGAGGGAGACTGAGGTAGGACATGACTATCAGGGTGCTTTCTAAAAAAAATTAGCCTAGTCAACGCCTCCTGAAGGGTTATGGACCTCTGGTGCATCACTTAACAAGTTCAGGGGCTCGAATTTCGATTTCGAGCGTTCGTGGACCTAAGTGGCACAACGCCACAAGTTTAAGGGCCGCCAGCGTATTTAACTCTTAGTAAAATATATGATCCATTATTGGCGAGGATGCGCCTACGGCCTCGTGTCACGCTCCATCCACGTACACATGGTCCTCAACAGACAAGCTTGTTCGTTTGATCGTGTTTGGCTTATAAGCCATGGCTGAAAGTACTATTGGTTGATTTGGTGTTAAAGAAAAATATTGTTCGTTGGCAGAAAACAAGCCAAACAAGCCCAAACGAACAGTGCGAAGGTTCATTGGCATTTTCTCTCCATGAGAAATAAAATCTTTTGACCTTTATGTTAATGAGTGGAGAAGATCTTACCCTAGGTCAAGTTTTTTTTATAATTAATTGCTCCAGCACTATCCCTGTTGCGTTTCGATCACTGAATGTTTCTTGGTGAGCTTCCTGGAATTCTTATTTAATCTTGTGTAATAAGCTCCACAAGCCGATCGAAGTGAGCTGTGCCAAAATTTGCAGCGTAGCATTTCCTTCCTCGATCTTGCCTTGCTCGAAACTGCTTCACCTCGATAGCTTGCTGCAATTTTAGCGGTGGACATAACTTTTGTCCAACACATAGCTTGGAAGCATGGTAACTTTTACCCTTGTGGTCCATCTGTTTTGGTGCAAGTTATTTATAAAATAATATTTATCTAGCATTACAAAGTGGCTGTAGCTCATATGGTAGAGCGCTCGCTTCGCATGCGAGAGGCACGGGGTTTGATTCCACGCACCTCCCTTTTTCCTTTTGCTTCTCCTTTTTTTTCTCCATTTTTCCTTTTGCTTCTCCTTTTTTTTTCTGCATCCAACGCATGGCAAAACTGCAATGGTGCAACGCTCTACGCTCCGGAAACTGAAAAGGGCGACCGAAGAGAAAAGGTACAGTGCAGGAGCGCCTGGAACGCGATTTCTGGCATAACTCCCTCTCCGCTCCGGCCCTATCCATTCAGTTCGCTGGTCTCACTCTCACACTGCACCGCACTCCAATTCCGTCCGGCCGGCCCAAACGCTTGCGTTTGAGCTCCACTTCAGTTAGCAGCAATGCAGACGCAGCATGGTAGGGGACTTGAGGCTTTCCTTCTTTACCCCACAAAAGGCAACCCAGCCCAACAATCCAGCCTATACTGCGGCCGCATCGCAGCACGCCGCGCTAGCGCTAGCAAAAAGCCGCGGTTTGGTGAGGAATGCTACTCCTACGCTAGGGTGGTGGCATCGTAGTGGGGACGTGGGGTTCCCGTTGCGCTGCTAGGGATCCGCGATCATTCGGCGGCCGTTCTATAGGCTGCCAGCCGCGGTGAACAAGGAGGTGGCGACAGAGGCCCAAGCGCCGCGTCTCTGGAATCCTACTAGTAGTAGAAGAATTTCAGGAGTAGTGGACCTCGGCCTAGGTTATTAGGGCCGGGGTGCTTCTGCTGCTCCCGAACCCGGTGGTGATCACAGTCGGGACTTTTGGCAAGTAGAGTAAATGATTACCGTGGAACCATACTTTGCATCTTCTTCTTCTACTAACAGTCTGTTCGTATGTTGGTTTTAGTCAGAGCTTATCAGTTATGGTACAATATTTTTCTCTCATAATGATCCAGCACTGGCTGGACTTATCAGCCCAGAAACCAACAAGCGAACAGGCTGTAAGATATTTTTCTAGGTACATAATAGTACTAGCTAGATTCATCCGCCCTATTCGTTTGGTTAATAAGCCAAGGTTGAAAGTACTGTTGATTAATTTATTGTGAGAGAAAAATACCGTTCGTTCGTTAAAAAATATAGTTTATAAGCCAAACAAGCAGGAGGATCATGTCCACATGCTTAAACATAATCCCCAGCACCCAACAGGTGGCCAGAACGACCATCCCCCAGGGTGCCGGCCGGTGTGCACGACTCTGTCCGGGGAAACGACACCGCTGTGGGTTTGCTTTTTTCTTTTTTCCCTCATATTTTTTTTTGTTCACACACACTTTGTAAAATGTATACGGAGTATGTATAATGTATACGTGTATGTACGTATACTGGTAGCATGTCGGAGCACGTCCAGCGATTTACTATTATTACTTACTAGTATAGTAGATTATAGAGAGAGGACCTGTGGTGCGACTGTTCCGGGCGCAGCACACTCCGCATATGTCCAAGCAAGCACAATCACTCGGCCAACAGTGAGACCTTTTTCCTAGGCGGAACAGGGCAACAATGCGCTCAGAAATGGCGTGGCCGGCCGACCGGGCGGTCACTGCTGGGAGGGGCCCCGGCCCTGCCCGGAAATGAGGAGAGGACGCGGCACGCCGGCAGTTACGGGACACCCCGGTGGCGGTGCTCGCCTCGGCTCCGCGACAAGCCACAAACAGAAGTGCTCACTGGTCACCAGCCCCTCAGCCGCCGTTGCCATTAGCTACCGCCGACCGACCACGGACGGAAAGACTGTCTCCGACAAAAAAAAAAAAAAAATCTATATGAGCATCTAAATCTAAAATGGATAAGAAGAGATCTAAAATCAGCCACCAACAGAATATCTATATGGGAGATCTATTTTGGGTTGCCTGAGAGGCACAGCCTAAATATGGGCATCATCTCTCCTGAAAACTCATTTACAGAAAGGATTATCTTTTGGGTCTTGTTGTTGGAGAAGATACCGAATAGACATCGAATCTTTTGCCTATAACATTATCTAAAGAACGAATGAGTCTTATATTTTAAGTGTTGTCATTGAGATAGTCTAAGGTGCATAACAGAAGCCAGCAGAAGGCTAGCAATAGCACGGCACATCTTTCCCTTTTGTTGTCGTCTATCTACTGTGGATAGCCTAATGAGCAGGAGATGCAGAGGAAGGCAAAGAGGTGGAGATTGATGAGCCGTGATCGCGAACGAGCCTGGTCTATCTACTATATCAGCCTTGTTCGTAAATGATCGTAAATTTTCAGTCGAGAATTGTGTTTTTCTTTCATACCAAACCAGTTAGCAGTAAATAATTCATGATACGGTATGGCTGGGTTGGCGATGAGAGATGTGTGATGAGGTGGAGCTCTGCGCAGCGCAGCCCCCACTCACATGGAGCGCCCTGCCACTGCCACGCTCCATGCTTTGCACTGCACTGCACACTCACCCACCCAACGAGCTGGAACGAAACGCCCTCTGCCTGGCTGCAGTGTGCAGTGCACCTCGCGCTCTCCCTTGGCTGGGTGGGTTAAAGCTTAACGCCACCACTAAACCCAAGCCAACGCAACGCCGTGGGCATGTAAATACGGGGGACTCGGGGACGGGATACCCTCGCCCGCGCCGCGCGTCTGAACCGCACCGCACCCAACCACACCGCCCTCGTCGCGTCCCAATGCCCACCAGCGCGCCGACCCAGACACCGCCGTAGCAGCAGCCACCAGCGCAGCCAGCCGGTGCCGCCGGGCTCGCCAGCCGTCTCATGTCGGCCAACACCGTAGCCAAGGCGGCGGCAGCGCCCATGACGACCGCGACCTCCTCCGACCCCTCGCCGTCGTCCTCGTCCGCCGCCGGGCCGTCCCCGCTCTCGCTGCTCCGCCCGCACACGCACACGCACGGCCACGGCCACGGCCACATGACGCCGCCGTCGCCGGCTTCGGCGCCGGCGCTCGTGGCCCCGCCACCGTCCCCGGCCTCCGCGCCCAGGGACTACCGCAAAGGCAACTGGACCCTCCAGGAGACGCTCATCCTCATCACGGCCAAGCGCCTGGACGACGACCGCCGCGCCGGCGGCGCCCATGGCCACGGCCACGGGGTGCCTCCCGCCGCGGCGGGGTCGCCCACGACGCCGCGGTCGGCGGAGCAGCGGTGGAAGTGGGTGGAGAACTACTGCTGGAACCACGGCTGCCTCCGCAGCCAGAACCAGTGCAACGACAAGTGGGACAACCTCCTCCGCGACTACAAGAAAGTCCGCGACTACGAGTCCCGCGCCACCGCAACCGAGCCGGCCACCGCCGCCCCCGCCCCCGGCGCCACCAACATACAGGGTCTCCCGTCCTACTGGGCCATGGAGCGGCACGAGCGCAAGGACCGCAACCTCCCCACCAACCTGGCGCCCGAGGTGTTCGACGCGCTGACGGACGTGCTCTCGCGCCGCGCCGCGCGGCGAGGGGGCGCGGCGATCGCGGCCGCACCGCCACCCCCGCTCGCGCTGCCTCCGCCACCGCCTCCTCCATCGCCGCCGAAGCCCCTCCTCGTTCAGCCCCGCGCTCCACCGCCTCCTCCTCCTCCGCTGCCACTTCCGGCGGTGGCCGTGGCGCCGCCGGCGACGTCGGTTTCCGGTATGGTCGGTCAGCGCGCGCGCCTGTACTTAATTCCAGCTGTTGTTACATATGTGATCTATCCACCCGTTCCATTTACTGTTCGTCCCGTCTCAACTGACACGTGGGCCCGTAGATTGCCACGAGGTTATTTGTGTGCTTAGAGCCTGGCGTTATGATTGGGGGAGATCGGATGCTCTCGCGACCTGGTGTAATTATTTACCACACCAGGGGGGTTCGCTTTTTAACTTTTTACTGTGCCTTCTTCCCGGGCGGTGGCTGTGGTAATAATGCTGTGCGATGAGAATAAAGCTGCGTGCAGAGTGCAGTGCAGCTCATGCATGCAAGAGAAAGTAGGCGGCGAATCCTATAGTTTATAGAGGGTTTTACCTGCAGAGGTAAATAAATATAAATAAATAGATTTCATGGCTACTCTTTACTCCAGCTGAAGCAATGCAAAGGAACAAAGGTTGCAATCACTTTGTAAAGGCATTGGCAGGATCCAATTGTAAAGCCTGAAAGCTTGGAGCAACTGTGCAAGCATGCAAACGAACTAACAAAGCACCTTTTGTTCTCCAGCTTGTTTGTTTTCGTAGTAAATAAACTATATTTAAACCATAATGCATGGTAACTGCTTTGTAGTTTAGCCTGTTACTGTAACGTTTTGATGATGTGTGGATGGATGTATGTTTGTACATGCATGCAGCGGAGGAGCTGACGGGGTCGTCGGAGTCCGGTGAGGACGGGTCGGACGGCGGCGAGCCGCAGCCGAAGCGGCGGCGGCTGAACCGGCTGGGGTCCAGCGTGGTGCGCAGCGCGACGGTGCTGGCGCGCACCCTGGTGGCGTGCGAGGAGAAGCGGGAGCGGCGGCACCGGGAGGTCCTGGAGCTGGAGGAGCGGCGGCTGCGGCTGGAGGAGGAGCGCACGGAGGTGCGGCGCCAGGGCTTCGCGGGCCTTGTCTCCGCCGTCAACAGCCTTTCCAGCGCCATCCACGCGCTCGTCTCCGACCACCGCAGCGGCGACTCCGCCGCCCGGTAACCGTCCGGCCGGCAACGGCATTGAGCCCTGCAGCTACTAGCCCCGTCGTGATCGATCATCTTCCTCCCAGCTCTGCTAGCTACCGCCGGCGTTGTGCAATCCGGCCGGGCGGCCGGCTAGCTGAGCTCCGATGATCCAGGGACCGCCCGATATGTAAATAAGGTGATGCGTGATTAATTGTTGGAGGCTCTGACTAGAAATTCTTTTGGAGGTGGAAGCGTATGTAGCATTGCATTGGTCTCGCCCTCGCATGCATGTACAAGGTTGTCCTGCTGCTAGGTGTCTGCTTTGAGCTTCCCTTTTGTGCGCTTGGTTGCATGCATGCATTGACTCGTTGTTGACTGGAGATGGAGCTTGCGATCAGTGGACATTGTTTCTGTAGCTTCCGTGGTGTGGTGCGATCAGTGGACATCGATGAGGCTGGCCGCTGCGGGTGCTGCCATTGCCACTGCCTTCTTGGGTTCCGGGTTTGTCGCGGACGACGATCATTAGCGGCGCATGGCATGCAGGGTTTGATGGCATGCAGGGTTAGAGGTAGAGGACGAAAGGGGAGGATCAGCAATCGAGGCAGCGCATTCAAAAAAAAAAAAAGCAATCGAGGCAGCAGCCGTGGGGCCTGTTCACCTCGCTGCGCCGCGTGCAGGAACGCCACTGCACGGCTGCCAAGCCGTTGCTTTCGTTCCTGCATGGTATCGGAGGAAGGAATCAAAGCTAGCTACCTCATGCATGCTAGCTCAAGTACTAGCTGAGACCCTGAGAGCAGAGCATGCATTCAGTAGCTAGCTAGTAGTAGCTCAAATGGAATGGCGCTTTTGCCCTCGTGGTGTCGTCGTGCCTCTGTATGCATGGTACTCTCGTCTCGTCTCTACCTCTTCCTGGTCTATGGATCGATGATTGTTCAACGAGTCTACTCATGGAATCGCCACCAGCGTCCGGTCGACTGCTGTGAAAAGGTTGCAGCGACTTGACTCGTGTATCCCCGTGCCCGCTAGCCACGCACCTTTGTCTGTCTCTCTGAATACTCGCCGCTCGTGCTGGATTCTCTCTCGTCACTCGTCAGTCATGCACCGTAGTAGTATTATTATATCTGGAGGTATGTGCGTACAGTACGTACCTACCACATCTCTGCACCGTCTTCTCAAATGTACTAGTAGTATCATCAAGACAAGTAGGGTTCCAAAAAGCGAGGCCTTAAAGAATTGTATTATCCATTGCCACCAGTACGCGTTGCCACCGGGGCATTGGGTGCACTGGTGGCCTATGCTGCTATGCATATATGACTCGCATCTCGACCGGATTACTGTTGTACAGTACTACATCACCAGTACGTACTGTATATGTAAATGTAATAGTACGTCCCAACAGTCGAGCCATAGGTCGACACGGCGGGGCCACCCGCGCCCGACCGGTCCGGCGACCAGTCAAGGGCCGACCGGCGCAACGACGACCCCGGAAGTGGACCGTGGGGCGGCCTGGGCGCCAGCACGTAGGAGACATGCGCGCATGACCGCGTGCACCAGCTGCCGCGTGTTTAACTCTCGCTTGTTTGTATGCAGATGTATCCACTCCGATCTACATATGATGAAATGGAATGAAGCTTAGTTTAATTCCACTCCAATATTCTTTAACACATATGGATTTTGATGAATACATATATATCCAAACAAGACCTAAGGCCTCATCTGGGTTCGTTGCAAAGAAAGCGAAGTGAGCATTTAACATACATATACATGTCATAAAATTAAATATCTATGAAACTATAGAATAAAACTCTCCAACGAAAATTAGTGAGTGTTTCATTCAGATCACTTAGATAGATGATCGCAGATCACGATTCACGACTGTGATGAGATCGAGAGGGGGAGAGAGAGGTGCTCATCAAGCTCCATGCCTGCGAATGAAGGAGCTGAAGCTGAGAACTCGATGCATGCATGCATGAAACTCCAGCTCTGGCGTCTGGCTGAAGTCGAAGTCGAAGTTGAGGTTGATGCATATATGATGCATGCAGGATACTCCAGCTCCGTAGCTGACTAGCTCGTCGTGCGAGCTGCGTGGCTCTTGTTGACCTGGTGCGGCGTGGATCCGGGAGGGTGTAAGCGTAATAACCAACATGCAAATTTATATACCTTACCTCCGTCCCATAAAAAGAATTGTTATGAGACTCGTTTTTGACTTAGGTCTATAAAAAAAATATTAGCAACACTTGTATCTTCAAATAGTTTATTATAAAAATATATTCAAAAATCTATCAAAGATACTAATTATGTATCAAAAATATAATATTAATATTTCATTATATAAATTTAGTTAAAGTTAAAGATAGTTGACTTCTTAGGAAGCGAGAATGACCTTTTTTTATGGGATGCGGGGAGTAGTGTCTGATCAAAGTTAGAATTAATTCAACTGAGTTTATAAAAAAATTATCAACATATATACTACTCTTCAGGTGCCCGTCCATCTCCTCTATATGGCAAAGACTAGGGGTTGATACCGCTGCATCTTTGTCTGATGAAGAGCTCCGGCGCTTAAACACTCCGCACGGATTGGACAGCGACCTGTGGCCGTCTATTCTGCTTACTATACTTTGGCGTCTCTAGGACGCCGGCAACGGCGAGGTCTTCCGGCAAGAACGATCCTCTGCTACCCAGATCATTGCCAAAGTAATTGACGACCTCTCGACCCGGAAGAGACCGTTTCATATTGAAGAAAACAAGCAATCCTGAGAATGTTCAGGCTTGGCTCCTGTACCTGCAAAGCTGTAGAAATCTACATTGCGTAACTACTAGCATTATGTAACTGAACGCGATCGATCTCTTTCTAATAAAATTCCAGGTGGGGATCCTCTCCCCCGTAGTCTTATATAAAAAAAACATATATACTACTCTATCTGTCCCGAATTGAGAATCGAAGACGAATTTAATAATATTTATTTAGTAGTCTATCCGCCCCGAATTGATAATCCTATTTCATATAGGGATATGGTAAACTATACAAAGCTTTGATCATGATTATTTATATCGGTTTAGGACGTGGAACTTACATAACCAATAGATTTAGATTTGTATTTAGAAAACCAGCCTCTCGGATAGTACGGTGCGGTTCTTAAAAATATATTTTGTAAGAATAATTGGTAGGAATCTATATTGTTTGATTTCATCCCAATCAAAACCTACTTATCATTTCAAACCGAAGAGAGCGATAATATAAGTATCTTTTCTGTATTATATAAATTTAGTTAAACTCTAAATTATTGTAAACTTGATTTGGGGGTGGGGTACTCCTGAATTGCGCATTCTTTTGGGATAACAAGAGTACTTGGCCAGCTGGCTTGTTGGCTTTACCAAAGGATCGAACAGCGGAAAAGGCCTCTGGTATGGTGCGCTGAGCCTGACTGACTGCACGCATGAGCTCCACAGTCACAGCCACAGCCAACCTTTGCCGTAATCGGCGGCGCAGTGGAGTACACGTACCACACTACAGTACGCGGTGGATGCAAGCAAAATTTTACTGCACGGGCGCAATGACGAGAATGCCCTCGCCGGGCGGTGGCAGCTGGGGATCTAGCGGGCTACGTGGGCCGTAGGGTGGTCTATGGACTACTGGTACTGGTAGTTGCCAGTATACATGAGGGGGGAGAGAGAGAGGGGGAGACGGGTGGACCGCTGCGTTGTCGGCTTCCGGCCATCATCTCCCAGTCCAGCCCCCAGAGGAGAAGGACCAGGCCTGGTGGGGCCTTTGTCCCGATCCGGCGATCCGGCTCTACTCCTCTTCCTTTCTCTGTCCTCTCTGTCTAGGGGCAGCCTCGTCTTTCCGCACCCGCTGACTGGATGGGTAATAGGATTGGACTGGACTGGGTGGCTACTGGTTAGTACTCCTACCAATTTCATGAGAAAACTGGGATTTCAGATACCCGGTGACGGATTGTTACAGGAACGACAAAACCGTGATGTCCCAGTCCGACTTCACATCCTAACTAGTAGAGGTCGAGCTAGTTTTTTTCTTCTTTTCTTAGATGCACCAAATATAAGTCTCTCATCACTCTTTTTTTTTCTCAATTTTCCCACGTCCGCATCTACTTAAATAAATGAATATCATTGTTATACACTCGTCTCTTTCCGTTGATTATTCAAGTGCCCAAGTCTAAATTAACAGCTAAGTTCAATCTATATAATCATGAACCCTCCCTCTATCTCGACATGTAGCCCACATACAATTATAATATCTATGTAAACTATCTATCCCCTAACACAGGCACATGATCCACTAATCTGTTGTTTATCTATATGGGCATCCACATTACCCACTTAAAATTCATTTATAACAGTTTATCCTTTCATGCAAGTAAATATAAAGTCGTTTAATTTCATTGTAAATCATATGTAATCTCTAGACCAATGCACAGGATATTCTCCTATTTTAAGATAAAGGAAACACCCTACATAGGTGCCAGCTATATAATATGGTCCAAATCACCTGTTTTTTTGGAGGCTAGAATGTAAAGACACAACTAAAAGAAAATATACCAATATAACGGTGATTTTGCAAAAAAAAAAAAACTAGGCTTGTTTTGACATAATAGTGCATATCATTGTGCTCCATTCGTCCTGAAAAGTATTGTTGGAGTTGTTCCAAATTCACTCCAGGATATAGGCCAAAGCTCCATTTGAGGCGGAGCGGAGGCCGTCAGCGAAAAGTATATACATGATTTAGATAAATTGTTTGTTTGGTGGTGCCGTGGTTTTCCCCTTCACATCGGAGGGGTTTTCCACGTTAAATCGTGTGTCTCCTCTGTGGTTTGATTCTTTACTTCATATTCCTATACGTCGTTCATAACAAGTATTACATGATTTATAAAAAGATTTATCAACACTTGTATCAGAAATATAATCTTTATAAAAATATATTTCAATAGTTTAATGATACTTAATACCTATGATCTTGATACTTATTCGTGTATTAATAATTTTATTTTATATGTGTTTAGTTGAATTTGAAATTTT